CTTTATTCCTTTTATGTCTATGTTCTTTCTAATCATGGACAGTAAGGGCTCCAGTGATAACACGTATAGCAGTGGGGACAATGGGCATCCCTGTCTTGTACCATTTGACATCTGAAAGTGCTCTGATCTTCCTCCATTTACCATTATGGTAGCGGTAGGCCCTCTGTACAACTCTCCAATCCACCCTCTCATTCTATCTCCCACTCCCAACGCTTCCAGAGTGTCCATCATAAAACCCCAACTCACTCTGTCGAATGCCTTCTCAGCATCTATCGACATCAGTATCATTGGGGTTTTCCCTTTTTTGCCTTCCTGTATAAGCAAGAGTGATCTCAGAGCATTATCTCTACCCTCTCTTCCCGGGACAAACCCCACCTGGTCTCCATGTATCCACTTCGGCATCAGCTCTTTCAGTCTATTTGCCAGAACCTTTGCATATATTTTAGTGTCTACATTCAGCAGCGCTATGGGACGATAACTCGCACATTGTGAGGGATCTTTATCTTCTTTCTGTATCAATACTATATTCGCCTGTAAAGACTCTCCCCTTATCTTCATCCCGTTCCCCAAGGCGATCATATAGATCTTCATTTTGGGAATTAAAAGCTCTTTATATTTTTTATAGTATTTGGCCGTATATCCATCCGGGCCTGGGCTTTTCCCTCCCGCCATGCTTTCTAATGCTAATTTTATTTCCTCTGGGGTTATTTCTGCCTCTAGAGAGTTCAGTTGTGTTTCTCTTAATTTCGGTAGGCCTGCCTCCTCTAGGTATGTCTTTCTTTTCTCTCTATTTACTGTTTCCGTTTTCCTAAACGTATCCTGAGGTATGATATTATACAGCTCATTATAATACTCTTTAAATATTCTAGCAATATCCTTGGTTGAGTGTACAAATTCCCCCTTGGGGTTTCTTATTTTCTCAATGTAATTTCTATTTTTCTTCTTTCTTAAAGTTCTCATTAAATACTTTCCTGGCCTATCTCCCCATCTGTACCTTTCACTTGTTATTTTATTAAAAACTCTTCTTTTTTCCTCCTCCATTACATTCTCTAATTCTTCTTTCTTCTTTATTAACCTCTGCATTATCTCCTTAGTTCTTTCCCTTTTATGCACCTGTTCAAGATCATATATTTCATTCAATAATCTATTTATCTTTTCTCTCCTTTCTTTTTTCTTTTTTGCCCCCATTGCAATAAGTAGACCTCTGATGTAAGCTTTATGTGCTTCCCACACCGTTGCAACCGACACATCCTCTGTTTCATTCTCATCAAAAAACCATTCAATTTCTCTCTCAATTCTTTGACCAATCTCTTCCTCCATGAGAAGTGCCTCATTCAACCGCCATACATAACCTTCTCTCCCTTCTCTACCCCATCTTAACTTCATAGCAACTGGGGCATGATCCGACAGAGTGCTTCCTTCAATTTTTACTTCCACCACCCACTCTATCACTCGATGTTCTACTACTAATATGTAATCTAGTCTAGAGTAAGTCTCATGAACGTGCGAAAAGAAAGTATAATCTCTCTCCTTCATATTCCTAATTCTCCAGATGTCCACCAACTGACACTCATGCATCAATTTCTTTAACATTCTCAAGGATTTGCTTTCCTCCCTCCTCACAGAGGAAGTGGTATCTATCCGTGGGTCCATACAGATGTTAAAGTCTCCCGCTACTATCATACACCCACTTTTAAAAAATCCATCAATCTCTTCAGCACTTCTCTCATAAACCTCTCTGGTCTCTTATTTGGGCTGTATATATTTGCTATTGTACACTCAATTCCCTGTAGTTTACCTCTCAAAAATAAAAACCTCCCCTCCGGATCCGTTAGTCTCTCCTCCACCTCGAACCTTATATTCTTTGCGAAGCCTATAGCAACTCCTTTTGCTCTTTTAGTTGGTGAATCCGCATAGAAGCATGTTGGAAAATGTCTAGTCTTCAGTCTAACCTTCGACTCTATCTCTAGATGTGTTTCCTGCAAAAATACCACTGAGGATTTTCTATGTTGAAGTTCTTTAAATAACCTGAATCTCTTTCCTGGGCAGCTTAACCCTTTTACATTATAGGTTTATATATTGGATTTCTTCCATCTTACTCTTTTCCTACCGTCTCCCTCTTCCTCCTTCCCTTCCTCTTTCTTATTCCTATAGAGCGTTTTTATCCCTCTACCCTTTTCTCTCTCCCTCTCCCTCCCCCCCCCCTCTCCCAATACTCCCCCCATTCCCCCCATTTCCTCTTCCCCCCCTCCCTCCCCTCCCTCCCACCCCACCTCTCCCCCCCTCCCTCCCCCCTCTTTTTAGGCCTTTACTTTGCCTAACCGTCATTTGTGGAAGTAACATCCACCTTTGACTTAAACCTTAGGGCTTCACTCTTCCCATGGACAGCCTCCCCTCCATCCGGATCCCCCCCTTGACCCCCTCTCTACTCATCTTTCTATAGGAGTCAGGCTGGAGGGACAAGGGGAAAGAAAAAAAACAAAAAAAAAAAAAAAAAAAAAACACACCTCTCTCCCCTTCACTCTCCCTCTCCGCCCCTCCCCCACTCCCCCATCCGTCTCCACCCCTCTCTTCCTTCTGCTCTTTCTTCCCCAAATTCTTCTTCCCAACCCTTTATTTCAATTTTCTGCATTTCAAGTCTATTGCAAAAATTTCTCAAGTCCTCTGGGAACCTCAAATGGGCAGTTATTCCATTTTTCCATCCTATTAAACACTCCGGAACTCCCCATCTATATTGCACCTTCTGTTTTTTCATCTGCTCCAGTAAAGGCCTCAGAGCTCTCCTCCTCCGGAGAGTCTCTGATGACAAGTCCGTATATATTTGAATATCCATTTCTCCATACTTTATTACTGGTTTTCCCTTAGTGTTCCTCCAGATTTTTTCCCTTTGTTGTAATTCATAAAATTTTACAAGTATGTCTCTCGGCCTGTCTTTCTCATGATTCCCCTGGAGTTTCCCGTTTCTAGAGATTCCTTCTATATTAGTCCTTCCGATTTCAGAGTTTCCCATTATAAAGTTCAATATTTTGCAAACCATCTCTTCTAGTATTTCTCCTTTTAAACTTTCCGGTACCCCTCTTATCCTTATATTTCTCCTTCTTTCTCTATTTTCTTGAATTTCCACCTTGTACTGCAATTTTTCCTGAGCTTTTTCCATATTAATTATCTTCTTCTCTAATTCGGAAATAATCTGGGTCTGGCTTTTAACTTTCTGCTCCGTTTCTTCCACTCTTAACAACAACTGCCCCAGATCATTCCGAATTTTTACCATTTCTTGCTTAATTGTTCTCTCCAGGTCTTTGAACATTTCTGTCATCTCTCTTTTATTTGGATTTGTAGTTCTTTTTCTGTCTCTGATATTTGTTGATTACTGATATCCAATTCCATTGACTGTTTAGGACTATTTTGCATACTTAAATCAGACTCTCCTTTGTCTTCTCTGCTCTGGGGCCTTTCTGGGGTCACATTTCCCTGGGATGTGTACTTTTTAATTGTCCCCGTTTGTGTCCCTTTAGGCCCACTTTTATTTTTCATTTCTTCACTTTTCATTTCTTCTGTAACCTTTATTTTCTCTTATAAACTTATACTTTGCAAAACGAAGAAATTAATAAGGTGTAGAAATAGAATTCCCAGCTTTGTCTTCCCACCTTTCTGTATGCCTTTGCCTGCACCTTGCGTTCTTCTCCTTATTTTTTATTCTTATTCTCTGGGGGTCCCCCCCTTTTTTTTCTCTCCCTGCTTTCCTCCAACTCTATACAATTTTTGTGTTTGGGGCCACCGCCAGACTCACTCACCCCTCCAACGCTTCTCGTGAGACGGCTCCAGGCTCCTTCTTCCAATTCCTTCAGCAGGTCCGCTCTCTTCCTCTCAGGGGGACCCTCCAGGACTTTCCTCCATGCTCTTCTTCTTTGTCTTTGTTGGGGAGGCTCCCCATCGACCACCTGTTAGGGCTCCCTGGATTGCAGGTCAGAATCTCTCCTGCTCCGTCGGCCTCCGACCGGGCGGCCGCTTTCTTGCCTCCCAGAGGTGCACTGCGGCCAGTCACATGTCCCGGCCGCGCCTCCCTGTCACCCGGCAACCAGACTCGGCGTCCAGGCTCAGCGTCCCTGCCTCTCTCCGCTGGTCTCCGCTCTCAGCTCCGGGGAGCCGCTCAGCCAGAGGAGCCCGCCCGGTCGAGGTAGGTCTCTACCCTCTAGACCTCCATCTGCTAGGGGGGAATTTTAGAGTCCAAGGGGGGGTCAGTCGGAAGAGGCCCGTGTGAGAGCTCCTTCCACGAGCTCTCCGCCGCTGCCATAGTCAGGCTCCGCCCTCTAATCAGCCAATCTGCTTCTAACCTCAGCTTGTTCAAGTAAGCTTTAGCAAAAAAACCTGAAAAAAATACTGCTACATGGCAAAACAGGTGTGCAAAATCACATATATATACGTGATCTTGTAGTTTCGGGGGGGTGCATGACCTACTGCGCCACCATTCGCGACCTCGGCAGTCAATTACCGGGTCCCGGCCAGTGATTACTCACCAGCACCTGGTGATAGCAGAGTATCTCCGATGGGGAGAGACCTGTGTATAAACAACACAGATCTCTCCCCTGTCCCCTGCATAACAGAGCCATACAAAGCAGTGTGCTTACAGTGACACACAAACACAGCCCACATAGTAAAACAGCACACAGTTAACCCTTTGATCGCCCCACAGGTTGACCCCTTCCTGCCCAGTGCCATTACTACAGTATCAGTGCTTTTTATTAGCACTGTATTGCTGTCACTGGGGATGTCAGTGACATCAAATCAGTTCCCCCCAGTGTCAGTATGTAGTCCCGCTATAAGTCTCTGATCGCCGACATTACTAGTAAAAAAAAAAAATTCCAGTACCTATACCGCCATTTGTAAATGCTGTAACTTTCACATAAACCAATTAATTTACACGTATTGGGATTTTTTTTTAGCAAAGACATGAAATTTATGATGAAATTTGATTTTTAAAATTTTTTTACTGGACATGTTTAACCACCTCCCGTCCAACCGTTGTATATAAACAGCTGGATGGTGGCAGTGCAGGGTCGGGTGGCCATTTATAAATTGCCTCCCCGCACCCTGCTAGTGCGCGCTCCCTGGGAGCGCGCAGCACCACGATCCGGTGCCGCTGTGTCCTCCGGACACAGTGGAACACCGATCATCGGACGGGACCTCTGTATGAGGTCCCAATCATGTGATCACTGATTGGCCAATCAGTGATCACATGCAGAGTAGTAAGCAAGATGTCACTTGTAACATCATTGCTTACTACGTGTGAAATCTGTGAATGATCACAGAGGTCACATAGTACAAGTGACCAATCACAGCTCACTCAGTAGTTCTCAATGGCTGCAAGAATGCAGCTAGAGAGAAGGAGAAATGATTGCTTTTACATCCTTTATGGGTGTAAAAGCAATCAGTGTAAAAAAAAAAAAAAAAAAAAAATCTTCATCACCCCCCACAAGTAGTACAGTGTCACCATGGTGACACTGTACTGCTAGGGTGACAGTATGTAAATAAATAAAAAAAATAAATAAAAAATAATACAACAAAAAGTTAAAAAAATGTTTAAAAATTATAATTTTTGGTTATAAACTAATTTGGATTATTTTCTTTTTACTAAAAATATAACAGAATACATTTTGGCCAAGATTTATGATGAAATACTATTTATTTGCAAAATTTTATAAGAATTTACATAGCAAAAAAAATTAAAATCCCAGTGGTGAATAAATACCACCAAAATAAAGCTTTATCTGTCTGAAAAAAATGCTAAAAAATTCATATGGGTACAGTGTTGCATGACCGCGCAATTGTCATTCAAAGTGTGATAGCGCTGAAAACTGGCCTGGACAGGAAGGGGGTAAAAGTGTCCGGGCTGGAAGTGGTTAATAGCAAAAAGTCAAAAATATTGTTTTTTTTCTCAAAATTGTCGGTCTTTTTTTATTTATAAATCAAAAAATGAAAAACGTACAGGCGATCAAATACCACCGAAAGAAAGCTCTATTTGTGGGAAAAAAGGATGTAAATTTCATTTGTGTGCAGTGTTGCATTGTGAGGCCTGATCAGGAAGGGGGGTAAATCTTCTGGAGAGCAAGTGGTTAACAAGTAAACCCCACTGTGCTGAAAAAAGTAGTGCACGTCCTCCTTTTTTCAGCGCACACTGCTATAGCACAGTGGTGTAAATTGAACTCATAGGTCTCAAAGTAAATTGCCGTGTCTGTGCATTGGGATTTCATTGAGCAGGGCTTCTCAGTACAGGCAAATGCATATGGTGTGAACAGGCCCTCAGTTGGTTTCTAATAACATATTCATTAGAGGACTGGCAATCTGCCAAGATGGCTGGTGGAACTGAAAGTAACAGGGAAAGAGCTAAGATTTCAATGCCTGTATTGTAAACCTTGACTTTAACAATGCTTTTAGGGTCCATGCACACTGACTTAAAAAACCTCTACTTCTACAGGAGTTTTGTGTTTTGCCTGTAGAAGCAGCTCCATATTTCCCTAGGTGTCCATGCACATTAGGATGTATAGAGGCATAGTTTAAGCTCAATGTTTACAGGCAGAAAAAAACCCTTTCTGGTTTACTTTTTTGATTGAAGTTTTCTGGCAGAAATAACAGTAAACACTCCTAAATGTGCCTAAAAGTGTACAAAAATGCTCTATATGAGTGTTTTTTTTTTCTACCAAGGGAACTGACATTTTTTAATTAACACCTTCCCGCCCGGCCTATAGCAGATTGACAGCTGGGCGGGACACTCGCCATTGTGACTGGGTTGTCATATGATCTCCTGTCAAAATAAGCCTCTCCACGGGACACAGCTGATGACATATCACTACACTGGCCCGTTACCAGTGTCATGTGACTGCTGTGACCAATCACAGCAGATCACATGTCAGTTGTATACAATGGATGGCTTCCTGTCACGCCATCCATTGTATACAATTATGTTGTTAGCTGTGACTGGTCAAGGCAGTCACATGATACAGACAGGGCCAATCACAGTCCATCTGTATCATGTGGTCAGCTTTGCCCAATCACAGCTAATCACAACAAAAGACTGAATGAATCAGTTTCATTCAGTAACAATGATTGCAAATATCAATTAAATACATCGGTATTAGCAATCATAATGTGTTAAAAAAAAAAATCCTGATCACTTGCCCAGAGTAATTCATTGTTACTATGGTAACATTGTCTTGCTTTGGTCAGAGTGTGCTGAAAAATAAAAAATAGCAAAAAAAAGGAAAAAATTAATAAAAAATAAAATAAATAAATAGAAACATTTGAAAAAAAAAATACAAATTCAATTATTATTATTGAGTTTCACCAAAGAAATGTAGCAGAATACATTTTGACCTAAATTTATGAAGAAATGTTATTTATTTGCAAAAATTTCTAACAGAAACAAAGAAAAGTGTGTTTTTTCAAACGTTTCTGGTGTTTTTTGTTTTTTTTTAGCAAAAAAATAAAAAACTCAGTGGTGATTAAATACCAACAAAAGAAAGCTCTATTTGCATGACATGATTGTCATACAAAGTACGACAGTGCTGAAAGTGGCCTGGGCAGGAAGGGGGTATAAGTGCCTGGTATTGAAGTGGTTAAAGATTGTTTTAACCTGCTTTTACTACTTGTTCAAGATATGTGCTTGACCTGGGCACAGGTTCATTTTAAGGATCTAGTTTACCAAAGCATGAAGTGAGATAACATGAGTCCTGTACCTGATCTAATGCTCGCAGGGAAGCCTAAAAACTAAATAGGACCTAGTTCACCTCCCCTCACTCACACCTTAGTAAATCAGGCCCTAAATGGTTTAACATCCAATAGACTTTGAAGAAGCAGTGGTGCACATAATATTCTCATACAGCTTTTACATTCAGTGGAATTTCTGCAAATGACTGCACTTACTGCTTCTCTGTTAGCTGGTTGCCGAAAGGTGTCTGGCTCATGGTGTTCCCAAGATAACATTCCATCTCCTGAATAAAAAAAACCAAGAGAACAAATACCAAATCTCAGTTTAGAGTAGGAAAAAGAACTCCTATATCAAATTATCCAGTTGTGTTGAAAATTCTACATTAGTGCAGCAATTCACACACATGATGCATTTGACAAGTCAGTATAATTTAGATTCAGATGGCATTATTTTCATTGATAACCAGGACACCATACCATGGAGATCACTGCCACCACAGCCAAATAATCAGCATTTTTTCTTGTGTTACATTGCAGGTGTGATGATGTAAAAGAATTATGTCTGCGATCTTCTAGTGCATTTTGCACTTACTTTCAAAGACGGTAAATAGTAATGCATCTAAAACACACCTGAACACCACACTATAATTGCACTACAAGTAAAACACAGAGGGGGAAATTAATTAAAACTGGAGCACTCAGAATCTGGTGCCGCTGTGCATGATAGCCAATCAGCTTCTAAGGCTATGTTCACACTAGCTTTGTCAGCAGGCATCAGACAGATGTTTGGGAAGCGCTTTTAACGCTACTCAAACACCTATGAAAATTCTGCAGATGGCAGCACACAGTGCTGTTCACACTGAAGCATTAGCGTTGCATCGCGTTGTGGCATAACTGATGCCTCATGTCCAGTCAGGAGGAGTTGAAGCCTCCCATTCAAGTCTATGGTGAAACTCCTCAAACGCCTGGCAAGAGTTTGTGATGCGATTGAGAGGCTTTTGCCAAGTGTTAAATTCGCACCACAAATGCCTATAATGAAGTTAAATTGTATTAATGCTCTGCAAACGCCTATCAACCACCTCGAAATCATGCATAGGGCATTTGGGGAGCATTTGAGGAGCGTTAAAAACGCTTCCAAAACGCCTGTCTAACACCTGTCAAACGCTATAGGGGCGTTTGGCAAGAGTTAGAAATAAAGTCAAGTGTGAACCAGCCCTCAGTTCAGCTTTTTCAGTTATGCCTTGACAATAAAACCTGGAAGCTGATTGGTTTCTATGCAGAGTTGCACCAGATTTTGCACTCTCCAGCTTTAGTAAATAAACCCCAGAGGTATAAATGTAGCCTTTCATACTTTCTACATTTCCAAGCTGTCTGATGCTTTTTCCAGTGCAGGAAAATGCCTTAGACATATGAACATGCATTGTTTTCAATAATATTTATTCACATTAATCATTATGATGAACATCATCGAAAGAAAAAACATGCATACAGCATTTCCACGGTGATCTCATCTTTTATTATATAGTCTATGGCAACACTTCCAAAACACTCTCAAAATGCTTTAAAAATGCCCAAAAGCAATTTCACAGCAAATTATGTACAAAAAGCACGTAACACTCAAAGTCAACCCAACACTTTGAAAACACTTGTCAGCATTTGTTAAGGTCAAGAAATAACGCATAATATTGGCAGGAATTTTCAAGCACTGCTAGTGTGAAGTTTGAAGCTTTCAGCACCGCATTGCTAGTTCTATACTGGATTTGTCAAATATAGGATATAGTAAAAGGAGATTTTAATTTATTGTGCTAATTTAGTTAAATTGCTACTTACATTTTAGAAATGTGTTTCAGAAAAGATTGTAGCTAATTTGCTTTCTTGTAGATATCATGTAGATTAAAGTAAATAGCTAGAATGCACCTTTGTTATTCCCTGAAAACCCAGTTGAAGACACAAAAATAGATATTCTGTTGTACTAAATACCTTTTCATAATCTTACCTCCACTTTTCTGTTACTGCAGCTGTGTAGTCTGTATAAATATGACTGTGCCATCCAATGGTCACCAGAATTAGACTTAATGCTCTCTTTCAGGGCAGGCTTGATGGACCACTTGGTCTTTTAGCCATTACACTTCTATGCCTTTATGTTTGTCAGCCATATGAACGCAAAAACGATCTATGTTTGAATGACTCTCCGTTTTTTCTATTTTTTTTGCATGCTAGTCTCCATATCGAAAATGAAGAGGTTACTAAAGTTATGAAAATTCTTGTACGGCAGAATAAACATTCGGAAGTGATGTCATGTATTGTATTTGTATTGTATTTTCAGATGAAAACTGCACAGATTAAATGAAATTCGTACACTCTGGTATTATAAGAGAAACATTTTCATGCTATTCTCTTCTAATAGTTTCGGATGAAAGCTGTACACTAAAAATCAGATTATTGTACGATCGCTTCGAAAGTGGTATTTTTCATATGATTTTCTGATCGTGTGTACTACTAGGCTTAAGCAGGTCAGATCTCCTCCTGCAGCTATTGTATTCTAACTGGGAACCACCAGATGTCATAATATCTAAACAATGCTTGCATTTGGTTTGATGCAAACACTAATCAAATGACAATTTTCCGTCCAACTCCTTTTATTGTTCAATCAAAACATGTTGAGTGGGAGGATACCAATGGGGTCACCAATGGAGCAAATTTCAGCTGGTTCATCAGGAACAGGCTGAAATCGACTCCATGTATGGCCAGCTCTCAGCAACAGAAAACACAACCCCTCTCTTCCTTCGAATTGCAAGTCTGTGGCTGTGACTCTGCTATGCCAACTCACAGTACTATAGAGATGGGCAGGAAGCAGTAGTTTCACAGAGGGAAAATTCTGTTTTAAGGAAGCTTCAAGGAAAAATATGTTGGGGTACAGGCAGGGGTGGACTGACAACTCATGGGGCCCTGGGAATAGGGGATCATGGGGCCCCTGTGTCCTTGCCCAAACTCAAAAAAGCCTATGAAAAAGGTACCAGGGGCATCTCATGGGGCCCCCTACTGACCCCGGGCCCTCAGGCAGTGCCCGAGTTTCCAAATGGTCAGTCTGCCCCTGGGTACAGGACAATAAAGAGTTAAAAAACTGCACAATTTCAACTGCACTTTAAAATGAACCAGTGCTTAGACATTTTCTTTTGAACCATACTGAAAAGATAGGCAGAAAGGATACCGATTTACAAAGTTGCAAATACACTTAAAACATAAGAGTTAAAAGTGCTTATCTGTTGTCCAAGATCTGGATCCATATCCAGTCCTGATTAAGTCTACACTATGGTAAACAGTTGGGGGAGCAATTGTTGGCCACAGTTGGAGGCTCAAAGTAGTTGTAAACCTTAGAGCTGAGGCTACTGATCTGCTGGAGGCCCCTCCCTGCCACCATTTTTCTCCTGGTGTCAGGAAAACTTGTCAGAAATGATTCATGTTGATAGCAGAGGAACAAAGTAGCAGACATAAATAACACTTAGTGCTCTTAATTAAGACAATTACACACTATAGAGGGATATGCTTTGTTCATAGTTAATGTTTGTGAGGTTTACAGCCAGTTTAGTGTCATTTCACATATATGAGGATTGAAAGTGGTTTGAACCATATCCAAACTGCATGACGTGAAATAAAAATGCTTCCTATGGCGCCTGTTCACATACATCTGGTGCATTGGCGGTGCGGATTCAGTGTGGTTTGAAAAAGATTCATGTACTATTTCTGAGCAGTGCGGTCAGGTTCAGGTGTGGATTACAGGCCAAACACTTCTATGGGAATCGTTTCTAACCCACATATGTGTGAACAGGATAAGATCCTGAGCTAATCCTGTCCTTAACCTGATGTAAACCTGACATGAACTGCTGAACACCTACTGTATCAATTAGCTGTGAAACCTGAGCTTATAATGGTATAAAGGTATAACTGAAGGCAAAACCTTTATTTATAGTTTTAGAGTAGGGGAGGAATTATAATACCTCTTACTTGCTATCGGTGCCCGGTGTCCCTCTCTACTTGTCCTTGTTAACATTATCACAAAAAGTGAAAGAAAATCCTAAACTTTGAGGGGTCACTAAAACAGGAATAGAGGACATCTTCCAATGGGGAAATGAGTTCTGTTGACCCTGGTGATCACCAAGGATTTACTTCACTTTGGAGGGATTTCTCCTCACCTACTGTTGTGGTTATGGGACAGGAAGTAAAATGACATTTTCACATGTGGTTGTCATGTAAATGGTAGCCTCACATTCTTCCCTTCATTTTCCACTACTCAGTTTAGTCTCTATAAGCATAGAAAAGCAGCCCTGTGTAGGTGGCAAGATACAATCTAGAGTTTACTCAAGACCAAGGCCACTCTCTCTGCCCCTCTGAGCTCAGCTAATA